CTGATGATGTAACAGTAATTATCAATAAATATAATGGATGCAAACAAAAGCATTTTAATTTCTAATTATCATTAAATATAACGAATGTAAACAAAAGCATTTTTAGAGTACAGTTTAGTGCTTCTCAACTGTAGCCTCACACTTGAACCATCTGTAAGTGAGGTGTTAGCAAATGTCACTTTTTGATACTGTATAATGAGATGGTTTAAACATTTGGAAAATCTGCATAGCTCAGTGAAAAAATATTTTCCAAGTGACCAATGAATGATGTTACAAAATCATGCAAGCATATAAAAAAGATCCATTCAAAGAAACAAAGATGGCGGCATAGGTAAAAACCGGAAATTGCTGCCTCCCACACAACAACTTCAAAAATACAACGAAAAGACAAAACGGACATCATCCAGAACCACAGGAAGGCTGGCTGAGTGGAAATTCTACAACTAGAAGGAAGGAGAAAAGCACGCGTAGACTCAGAGGAGCTGCGGAAGTAAAGTGCAGAGGTACGGAGGTTCAAGCGCGCGGAAAAGGGCTGGCACCTGAGGACACGGCTGTCTTTTTGAATCCGGAGGGAGTCACAAGCTCCCGACTGCTCTGAACTCCCGTTCCAGGAAGTCTCTGGGGACCCAGGACTCATACGGGGAGAAACTGGACTGTCTGGCAGCAGGCAGAACTCAGAACCTGAGGGCGGCTTTCCCTCAGAGGTGCTTGCAGCAATTACCAGGACACTGAGACGCGCCGCCCCTTAGGGCAGGGCTGAGGATCCGCCATAGCTGCTGGCTCTGCGACTTTGATTCCCTGAGACCCCGCCCCACCCAGGCTGTGGCAGAGGCTTTGCATATGAATGCCCTGGCCCTTTGCAACCTGAAAATTACCTAACCAATTGCAGCTGGGCCAGAGAGACCCAGAACTTCCAAGAGAAGGCCCAAGGCCCCACATCAGCTTGCATTGCTTCACAGCTGGGCCTCATCAGGGCACCTCCAAACTCCAAAAAAGGAAGGGGAATCTGCAGTTCTCTTAGCTCCTGCTGGGTAACCTCAGACAGAGGCTAAATTAGCACCTCCTTAGATCCAAGAGCCAGTGTACCCAGTGGTCAGAGGGGGACCATCCGGATTACAACTCCTCAGATCCATAAGGGACACACTCAGGGGGCAGACTCAGTGAGCACCAAAGCCCCACTGAAGCAAGTCTTGCCCCAGAAGGGTGTCTTCAGCACAAAAGTTCTCCCACTGCAGACACAGCTGATTCTCACTGCCAATTGCCTGGAGGTCAATTCCTCCCAGTGATCCTACAATAATCAAGGCATAACTACAACAAGACTGTGCACAAAGCCCACAAGGGGGTGCACCAAGAGTGTCCACATCAGGTAACGGGGGAGGCTGAGGCACTGGGCCCTACAGGACACCTAGCACACAAAGCTGCTCTACCAACACAGGGAAGCATAAAAAATGCGGAGACAAAGAAACAGGTCACAAATGACAGAAATGGAGGAAAGCAAACGACTGGATATAGAGTTCAAGGCCACGTTTATAAGGTTTTTCAAGAATTTTATGGAAACCGCCGATAAATTTAGTGAGACCCTGGAGGATATGAAAAAAGACCAACTAGAAATTAAGCATACACTGACTGAAATAAATAATAATATACAGAGATCCAACAGCAGACAAGAGGATCCCAAGAATCAAGTCAAAGATTTGAAATACAAAGAAACAAAAAATACCCAACCGAAAAAGAAAAAAGAAATAGAATCCAAAAATATGAAGATAGTGTAAGGAGCCTCTGGGACAACTTCAAGCGTACCAACATCAGAATTATAGGGGTGCCAGAAGAAGAGAGAGGGCAAGATATTGAAAACCTATTTGAAGAAATAATGACAGAAAACTTCCCCTACCTGGTGAAAGAAATAGACTTACAAGTCCAGGAAGCACAGAGAACCCCAAACAAAAGGAATCCAAAGAGGACCACACCAAGACACATCATAATTAAAATGCCAAGAGCAAAAGACAAAGAGAGAATCTTAAAACAGCAAGAGAAAGACAGTCAGTTACCTACAAGGGAGTACCCATACGACTGTCAGCTGATTTCTCAACAGAAACCATGCAGGCCAGAAGAGAGTGGCAAGAAATATTCAAAGTGATGAACAGAAAGAACCTACAACCAAGATTACTTTATCCAGCAAAGCTATCATTCAGAATTGAAGGTCAGATAAAGAGCTTCACAGATAAGAAAAAGCTAAAGGAGTTCATCACCACCAAACCAGCATTATATGAAATGCTGAAAGGTATTCTTTAAGAAGAGGAAGAAGAAAAAGGAACTCTTACCATTTACCACAGCATGGATGGAACTGGAGAGCATTATGCTAAGTGAAATAAGCCAGTCAGAGAAGGATAAACACCACATGATCTCACTCATTTGTGGAATATAATGAACAACATAAACTGATGAACAAGGACTGATCCAGAGATGGAGAGGCATTGATTGGACTGTCAGGCCTTGGAGGGAAGGTAGGGGAGGGTGGGGGTAAGGGGGAAAGATCAACCAAAGGACTTATATGCAAGCATATAGGCCTAACCAATGGACATGGACAACAGGGGGGTGAGGGCATGAGCGGGGGGGCGGGGGGGGGTGCGGGGGGGGGGTAGGGGGTAACGTGGAGATAAAAGCCCTAGTTGGTTTGGTTCAATGGAAGGACACATATATAATATCTTAATAAAAAATATATATATAAAAAAAGATCCATTCAAAATTAAAGAGAAACCAGTGGATTTTTAATGTAACAGGATATTAACTTTATTGGTAAGGTTTCAGCTCCTACAATGCAGCTGACCTTTAAGAAAGCACTTGATGCCTGAATGCAGTTGCTCAGTGATTGAGTGTAAACCTGTGAACCGGGAGGTCAGGGTTCGATTCCCAGTCAGGGTACATGCCCAGATTGCAGGTTCAATCCCCAGTGTGGGGTGTGCAGGAGGCAGCCAATGAATGATTCTCTATCATCATTGATGTTTCTATCTCTCTCCCTCCCCCTTCCTCTCTGAAATAAATAAAAATATATTTAAAATATTTTTTTAAAAGCCCTAGTTGGTTTGGTTCAATGGATAGAACGTCAGCCTGTGGACTGAAGGGTCCCAGGCTTGATTCTGGTCAAGGGCACATGCCCGGGTTGCAGGCTCAATCTCCAGTAGAGGGTGTGCTGGAGGCAGCCAATCAGTGATTCTCTCTAATCATTAATGTTTCTATCTCCCTCTCTTTCTCCCTCTCCCTTCCTCTCTGAAATCAATAAAAATATGTTTTTAAAAAAAGAAAGCACTTGGAGTTTTGGTTCAGTGGACAGGATATCCACAAATATCTTAAAGGCTATTAAAATACTTCCTCTTCTAGCTGCATACTGTGTGAGGCTGGGGTTTCTTCATATACTTCAACTACATACTGCAACAGAATGCAGAAGCTGATAGGAGAATTCAGCTACCTTTCATTAAGCTGGATATAAGAAAATTTGTAAAAAATTAAAATAGTGCCACTCTTCATTAAATGTTTTTGTTTTAGAAGATATTTTAATAAAGATAAGTTATTTATATTAACATGTCAATGGGGGAAAAGGAGACATGTACTACTATTTGTAATACCTTAAACAATAAATTAATTTTAAAAAAACATGTGACAGGTTTATTATTTTTAAATGAATTAATATTTTTAAATTGCTCAGTTTTAATTTCTAATTATCAATAAATATAATGGATGCAAACAAAAGCATTTTAATTTCTAATTATCAATAAATATAAAATGTAAACAAAAGCATTTTAGAGTACTCGGTAGTTTTTAAGAGTATAGAAAGGGTGCTTAGACAAAAATGTTGGCAAGCCACTAGTTTAGTGCTTCTCAACTGTAGCCTCACACTTGAACCATCTGGAAAACTTTTAATAAAATAAAGTTTCCTGGGCCACACCCTAGACCAGTTAAGTCTGAATTTTTGAGGATGTGAGCCAGGCATCAGTCATTTTTAAAAGCTATTTACCAGGTGATTCTAGTATACAGCCAGTGTTGAGAACTATAGTAATTAACTTGGTTAAACCAGTTGGTGGATTAGAAGAAATTGCCTTTTCTTTAAGAAATGCACTCTTGCCTTTTATCTGAACCAACAGTGACTCCCTGACAACTAAGGGCAATGTAAAGGAGCACCCATTTGCTCTTAGATGTGTTCTTCCTCAGGTTGTTAGAGGCGTGAAGGAAGGAACCAGCATATTTGTAGAAAGTATTATAGTTATACAGCCTACCATGAAGCCAACAAGCCATTTTTTCTCTTTGCTGTACATTTCTTAGTCAAGTTTTTAAAAATTCTGTATGGAAAACCTTGTCGGCTGGATTTGTAATAAGTGAGGAAGTATGTACTTTTATACTGATCTACTTAGGACTTATAGGAAATATTTTTTGGGAGAAGTGAATAAATTGAACTGTATTAAGTGGTTGCCATGAAACAAAATGTTGAATAGTGTAATGACCCTAAAGAAAATTACTTTTCTCTTGTTTTTTTTCCACATGACTTCACTGTGTGGGGTTTTTTTTAGCAGTTTCATTGAGGTATTATAAACTGTGGACTTTGGGTGATTATGATGTGTCAGTGTAGGTTCATCCTTCGCGCGCACACACAAATATATATATATATATTTACACACACACACTAATCTGGTGAGTGAGGTTGATAAAGAGAGCAGCTATGCATGTGTAGGGGCTTATCATTTCCTAAACAGAATTGAACCTTTTATTGATATGCATAGCCTCTTGGGAGCATAAAAATGTCAGTGGGAAATTGGGGACTTGTGCCTGTGACACCAAGGGTCATTTTATGGGAAAACAGAATGGTATCTGCTTATATTGAAATGTATTTCTCCAAATACTGCTGATGGCTTTTATAATTTTCTGCGTATCAGCCGGCATCAATTGCTGACATCTTCCTCTGACAGTACATTAAGTACTTTTAATCTTTGCTCTGTTTGTGGTCCTAGGTTGGTTCATTCTGGCTCTGGATGTCGATCACCCTCCCTTGGTTCTGACCTCACGTTTGCTACCAGGACAGGCTCTCGGCAGGGCATTGAGATGCATCTCTTCAGGGTGGAGACACATCGGGATCTGTCGACCTGGACCAGGATACTCGTTCAGGGTTGCCATGCTGCTGCTGAGCTGATCAAGGAAGTCTCTCTAGGTATAGATCCTGGCATTTCACTTCTAATAGTAATTAAATGGAACTGTTGTTATACGTAAAGTACAAGTCATTATCATGTGTACCAGACTTTAAAATGTTCTGAAATATGGCAGCTTAAAGTGATCATGATGGGAAGAAACCTTATTTCTTTGTTTTAATAGCAAAGTTTTTCCAAGCCTTGTACATGGCTCTGAGCACATTCATAAAACCCTCTGTACAAGATGGCAGTTTTACTGTCCATCATTTTAATCTGTCTGATAACATAAAGACTCATTTACCAAGTACTAGATGCATTGACCCTCTAGTTAAGATTTGGAATATAAGATATAGATAGATACCCTTAAAATAAGCTTATGGCTGTAGAAAAATAATTTGGAATACAAGTTTCTTTTTAAAAGTTTGAAGATGTGTACCCAATACTTATTGAAATAAGCATCTGAAGGAATTAATTTTGGCGATCTCTTTCCATTCTTAAAGCGCCCTCTTGTGGCTAGTCTATATGATTAGGGGTGTGGTTTCATATGTATGCACAGTATTTGTGTATTATGCACTGTATATATGTACAGATATTTCCAGATTGCCTTTCATTTTAATAAGAACAGAGAATAGTCAAAATTAATATACAATTACAGTTTTTAATATACTTTGAATTGCTTTAAATATCTTGGTTATAAGTTGGTTTACTTAATTTTGCTGCTTTTATCCATGATTTTATTTTATAGACCTAGTTTTACAGAATTTATAAAAGAGTAAATGTTTCAAAAGCAGAAAGTCTTGTGATTTATCCTTCTTTCTGTTGCTTCTTGAAAGCGAGGGAGCCCATGGCTTAGAAGTGCAGGGGCACAGGGACAGTTTTTTAGTGTTGTCAGATAGTGCAGATCTTCATCTATTTAGGACGTCGATATTTTCCTCACAGCCACAGTGACGATCCAAGCAGTGACACCAGTGACTAGTAAGAACCCACCGTGGGTTTTGACCAAAGCCACCACATCCACACTGTCTTGCTCAGTGGTCTGTCTCCTGTCTGTTTTCTCTGTAAAGTGGTTGGTCACCACATTAAGGGCTGAGGGCTCTAGTTTTCATCCTGACCACAGACTGTGCTTTCTGGGATGGCCAGTCCTCATTCTGAAGGGCTGCGATGCTCTGTGTTCCTGTGCAGAGCCTGAGCAATCAGGCCAGCACACCCATCCTGGCATCTGGGGTCATCAGATCTTCTCCGAGGATCCGGAGAGATATGCTTCCCAAGCAAAGAGTTCAACTTGGATTTTTTAACATTTTTTAGTTTCAAGTTGTTTCTTTGGTGTCTGGGAGCCAAACTTTATCTTCCAGGAAATAAAAAATCTATTTAGTCCCTGGCTCACAATTGTTTAAATAGAGATGGCTTAAGGAGGAGAATAAAGACAGCTGGTTTCTTTTATTTTTAAATAGACAAAAGAAACATTTTTAGGTAGATTTTGAACTTTTTGTTCTCATTCACAGCCTTATTTAACCATTACCTTGGTAATACTTTCATTTTCACAATTCAGGTCAACTGATGTGCTATACCTGTTAATCACTTACTCATAGAGGTCTGCCAGATATATTAAACTGGCTGAAGGGAAACTGCTTTGGTGAAAGTCAAAGTTTCTTTAAAACGTGTGTGTGTGTGTACATGCACATACTCATGTGTGCACACTTAGTCTGCTGTCTTAGTGTGTGTATACTTAGTGCACACATTTGCATATATACCACATACAAACATAAAACAAGCATGTTCTTTAGATACATGTTACCACCTTCTGGTCCATTGATTCAGAAAGGTTCATTTAAAACCAGTTAACTGCCACGCGTCCAAAAGGAAAACCATCCCCACACGCCACGATATTTTGATTTTAATTTAAAAAATCAATTTGCAATGAATATTATAAAAATAAATATATTACTCACAATTCGGGTGTTCTTGAATATTTTCAGCTGAAAAATTTTTAAAGTTGGTCAGGGCTGCCACTTAGGGGAAATTGTTTGTTCTTTTTATAGATGCACGTGGTGTGTGTGGAAGGTCCACCACTTACGTTTACAGGCGCTTATGGCATACAATGGGTAAAGCTATAATTGTGGCCCTAGCCAGTTTGGCTCAGTGGATAGAGCCTTGGCCTGTGGACCAAAGGGTCCCAGGTTCAATTCTGGTCAAAGGCACGAACCTTGGTTGCAGGCTCCTCAGGGCTCGTGCAGGAGACAACCAATTGATGTGTTTTTCTTTCCCTCTCTCTTCCACTCTCTCTCAAAATCAATGGGGAAATATCCTTGAGTGAGGATTTAAAAACATATATATGTTAAAAATAAAATTATAATTGTGGCACTTTATACCACATATTCAGATATTTGTGGCCTAAAGAAAGATAGTTGACAAAAAAAATCAATATTTAAGCTCTGTTTTCTTGTCTCATGTATTTTGGTTATCAATTATCCATTTAGAAAAATTCTAGTGACTACATACAAGAGTTGACTAATGAATGTAATACATGATCTTTATAATGTTCATTTCGTGTGTTTTATTTTTATTGATTTCAGAGAGGAAGGGAGAGGGGGAGAGAAATAGAAACAACAATGATGAGAATCAATGATCAATGCTCAACCCTGAGCTACACCAACCAGGCTGTTCATTTCGTATTAAATCTTCATTAGATTATAGTTACAGTAGAATTGATCTGTGATCCTTCTGATATGCAAGGACTTTTTTCTTTTAGCAAACATGAACTTCAAGATGACTAAGCAGAGAATACAATTAACTCCCTCAGATCCATAAAACCATTTCCATTAGTCACAGGGTTTGAAAATATGAAAATACATATGAGTGTGGCTGTTTGTAGTTTAAGAAGTATGCTTTTAAAGGCTTAATTTTATTATATCAATTACCCAAGCTATTGAAGTTTTTAAATCGTGCAAGAAGTTTATGAAGATACTTTATATTTCTGTAGCTTTAGTAATATGGGCTAAGAAGTCATAGACATAGGTAGGAATTGCATTAATAAATATGCAGAAAATCCTAAGAGGAGAAGGAACGTCAGCATTTAAAAGTATATTGTTGCCTGGCCGGCATGGCTCAGTGGGTGAGAGTCAACCTATGAACCAGGAGGTCACTGTTCGGTTCCTGGTCAGGGCACATGCCTGGGTTGTGGGCTTGAGCCCCAGTGGGGGACATGCAGGAGACAGCCAGTCAATGATTCTCTCTCCTCATTATTAATCTGTTAAGAGGTAATCCGCACTATTAACTGGTGAATTAATCTGCATTATTAACCGGTTAATAGTTAATCTGCATTATTAACCGGTTAAGAGTTAATTCGCACTATTAACCAGTTAATAATTAATCCACATTATTAACTGTAACAATGCGGATTTTTTAAAAAAAATATATTTTATTGATTTTTCACAGAGAGGAAGGGAGAGAGATAGAGAGCCAGAAACATCGATGAGAGAGAAACATCGATCAGCTGCCTCCTGCACACCCCCCACTGGGGATGTGCCCGCAACCCAGGCACATGCCCTTGATCGGAATCGAACCCGGGACCCCTCAGTCTGCAGGCCGACGCTCTATCCACTGAGCCAAACCGGTTTCGGCAACAATGCGGATTTTGTAATCAAAGAAAACATGATAATTTCAAGAGAAACATCAAAAGTGCTTTATTCAAAGTAATGTCCATCGCTAGCTACACATTTCCCCCATCTTTCAGGTAATTGGTGGATACCGTCCCAATAGAACTTTTCTTGTTTTGAGGCAGACCATTGAGAGACCCAATTTTCCACTGCGTACATTTTGAAGTGCTGCTCAGAAAGTACGTGTGCCATCGATCAGAACAAGTGGTAATCTGAAGGAGCAATACAACAAAATAGCATACATATCAACTCGCATATATATCAACATATGTATAACTCCAGCTATTGAAAAAAATCCGCATTATTAACCGGTACACCTAGTAAGTCATAAATGAGATACGTGTTAGATAACCCTAACACACAACCCTCTGAGGCAAATTTTATCACCTCCATTTTCAAGATGAAGGAACTGGCGTTAGTGTGGCTGCAACTTGAATTGGGGACTTTCTGACTTCAAAATCAGTGCCTCAAGCCTCTGTACTTACGCCTCTAAATGACTCATTCTTACGGCCAAATCAAACTTCTAGAGGGCATATACGTCATCAGTTTCTCTTAATTCGTTAAATCAACAAATATTTATTGAGTATGTTATTAGTTACAAAGCTCTGCTTGGTAATGAGGGAAATAAAAATAAATAAAACTTACCTCATGCCTTTGACCAAATAGCTATAAGTGAGGAACATAGTGTCATGTTCTTCTTTGTATCCCTGAGAATGATTAGCCTGTTGCTTATACTTGATGGACTGGCTTTCCCTATGCGTAGTAATGGAGAATGTTGCCTCAGTCCTTCTCTGAGAGAGTCCTGAGCAGCCCAACCAGGTTGAACCTGCGAAGCCCACTCCCTTCTGGGTTGTTCTGAACGCCCAGATGAGCCCACACGGTCCTGCAGCTGGGAAAGGGTCTTGCTGGAAACATTGGCGCCCCCAGAGTCCTCCTCCCGTGTAACTGGCCCCAGAACAGCAGAGACAGGATTTGCAGGGTAGAATTTATTTGACATCAGGGTCTTTGTCCTTTGTGATACACTGGTAACCATTTAGAAAGACACATGGTAGGCCTAGCTGGTTTGGCTCAGTGGATAGAGCGTTGGCCTGGGGACTGAAGGGTCCCGGGTTCGATTCTGGTCAAGGGCACCTGCCCGGGTTGTGGGCTCAGTCCCCATTGGGGGGCGTGCAGGAGGCAGCCAATGAATGATTCTTTCTCATCATTGATGTTTCTATCTCTTTCTCTCTCCCCCTCCCTCTCTGAAATCAACAAAAATATATTTTTTTTAAAAAAAGAAAGACACTACCTAACCGGCTTGGCTCAGTGGATAGAGCATCAGCCTGCGGACTGAAAGGTCCCAGGTTCGATTCCGGTCAAGGGCATGTACCTTGGTTGCGGGCACATCCTCAGTATGGGGTGTGCAGGAGGCAGCTGGTCGATGTTTCTAGCTCTCTATCCCTCTCCCTTCCTCTCTGTAAAATCAATAAAATATATATTTTTAAAAAAAGAAAGAAATACACAAGGTAGAAAACACAAGTTATATTTACCAGTATTTATCTTGGTGTAACACTAATAGGTTTATTACTAATTAATGAGCTTTTCTTTCTCTTAGCTTATTTTTTCTTTTTTCTTTTTTTTTAGTATTAAGGGAGCTGCTTAGAAAGTTATCTTTAATGTATGTAATTACACTCAACAATATCCCTGTGGTTTGAAAAAGCCAATGTCCCTTCCACTTAGCAGATTGTGAAGTGGTAGCCAGGGCTGTAGAAGGAAAACCAGGGTGGGTGGGGACAGGCAGTATCAAAGGAAGAGCATTCGAGGAGAAGAATGGCCAGTAGGGTTAAATGTGTCAGTTGGGATGATTTTGGGTGCAATTAATAGAAAATACCCTCTAAAACTAGATTAATGCATTAAAGAAACGAATTCTCTTACATGAAAGAGGAACAAGAGTAAAAGGAGGTGGTGGTGTGTTTTCTCTTCCCAATCATAGTTCTTTTCTGTGTGAGCCAGTTTGGTTCATATGCACACCCTCAACGCCAATCATCAGGGGAAAGCCAAGCTGCCTAGTCCAGAGGCTGCCTGCCCTTGAAGTTGAGGTCACCCTTCCCTGAAACACTTTAGGAGAAAATAGAAACCTGAATAAAATTGGGGTTTGGCTGTAAAGGAAGAATGGAGAAATAGAAGCTGGGTAGACAGCCAACAATGAGCACTACCAGTATCAAGTAAGACAGGGCTGGAGAAGCAGGTCGGATTTAGCAACATGAAGATAATTGGTGCCCTTGGGGAGAGACACTTGGTGGTGTGATGGCTGAGGATGGGATGGGAGGTGAAATGTGGATAAACTGAGTGTAGACCGGCTCTTTCAAGAAGTTTTGCTGTGAAGAGGAGAGAGGGGACTGGTAGAAAGTGGAAGGTAAGGAGCTGAGTAGAGGTATTTCTTTTAATGAGAGAGACTTGAACATTTTAAAAAGTTAATGGAGGGATCCGGTTTAGAGGGCCATGTTGCAAATGGCAAGAGGAAAAAGGGATAACAGGCTTGTACAGTTTCTGAGAAGGTGGGAGTGGGCGGCATCCAAAGTGCAGGTGGAGGGACTTGGCCTGAGGCTGGCAGGGAAACAGGTGGCTCTGAGAGGGGAGAGGCTGGGTGGAGCTGTGCGTCCTCGTCTTAGCTGCTGACGTGGGCATTGCCTTTTCCTCCTGAGTAATTTATGCCGTACACATCCCTGGCTTTTACTCCAGGTGCAATTACAGGCTACTTTTATATTGTTCAAATTTTTTTAAGTTATATCCTGTATAATAGGAAAAACTTTTTTCCCCCTAAAAAGCTATCAGTTAGTCCCATGCACCAAAACCATTACTGTAAAGAATTTTACAATATGTTATTGAGAAGCTGGGAGAAATAGCAGAATTTTAGTTTGAGGGTTTCCTGTGAAGTCTAAGGCTAAAATTAATGGATTTTGTAGAACCCAAATATTGACCCCTTTGTCCCAATCCCAATGTCTTATATTTGCCCAATTGCATAACCATCAGGAATTGTACCCCCAAAACAGGTATTAATGCTCCAGATCAGTGGTTCTCAACCTCAGCTGCACAGTGGAGTAGCCTGGAAACCATCTTTTATTCAGCTCTGTATCTCCCAGCACCTAACACAATGCCTGGTGCATAATGAGTGCTCAAAACAATCCAGTATAGTTTGGTTGCGATTACCTGTCTGTCTTCCCTGCTACCCTGTGAGAGCAGAGAATTTAAAAATATATGAATAAATGAAATAATGAACAAACAATCAGTGAAGTAAGACATCATCACCATTCCACCAGTCAGTTACTCTTCCTGTATGTTTTCTAGTTATTCTGGGCCCAGGCTCATGAATTTGCACCTGTGACAAGTGGCCCTATTATGGCCAGTTCACACATACACACTGGCATTTCCTTCCTGCCCTCTTGATGGGAAACAATCCTGAACAGAACATTTTAAGAAATATCTTGCATGACAAGCTTGTTGGGGGGGGGTAATGGCTTACCTTTGCTCGCTGAGATTGCGGATCTTGCCCCACTGGGGACACCTGCAGGCAGAAATACTCACCTGTCTGTACCGCACCTTCTTCAGCCAGTGCTGCAAGGAACTGGGCAGATCCTTGTTCTTTGAGCTTTTCTAAGCTAGAACTGACCCCTCTCTTCTCGTCAGACCTCAACACCCTTGACCAGCCGTGGGCAAACTATGGCCCGCAGGCCGGATCCGGCCCTTTTGAAATGAATAAAACTAAAAAAAAAAAAGACTGTACCCTTTTATGTAATGATGTTTACTTTGAATTTATATTAGTTCACACAAACACTCCATCCATGCTTTTGTTCCGGCCCTCCTGTCCGGTTTAAGAACCCATTGTGGCCCTCGAGTCAAAAAGTTTGCCCACCCCTGCCCTTGACTATACTGTAGCTTCGGGGATGTTAATAGAATAAAATGATCTTGAAAACTCTACGCTGGTTGCCTCGATTGGTGCCTTAATTGGGATCTGTTCTTTCTCCAAACCCCTCAGCCATTCATTTAGAGATTGTGGCACTGGATTACTTCTACAAAGAGTTATTATTTTGTTGTTATTTATTAATCCTCACCCGAGGATATTTTTTCATTGATTTTTAGAGAAAGTAGATGGATGGGGAGAGACAGAGAGAGAGACACATTGGTTGCTTCCCCCATGCACCCTGCCCAGGGCCGGGGATTGAGCCTGCAACCAAGGTACGTGCCCTCAACCAGAATCGAACCACGACCCTTCAGTCCGAGGGCTGACACTCTATCCACTGAGAAAAACTGGCCAGGGCTACAGGGAGTTAATTTTATCCATGTTCCTCCCCAAGGTTTCCTTTCTGAGAGTTAAAGTCCATTGTTCAAAACTCTCTTCTCTGAGTAGTGCTGAGAAGGGACACTGCCACTATTTATGTTATTCATTTTCCTTATTTCATAAACACTCTGGCTGCCTTGACCAATTGAATGTCTTTGCAAACTGAAAGAATCAGTTTGATGTGAGCACTTGCTTGTTTGAGAGCCAATCTTTCTGTTTAAAGTGACCAAGCAGGGCTGGGAGGAGAGAGGGGAGAAAATGGGAGATATCTGTAATACTATCAACAATAAAAAATATATTTAAAAAATAAAAATATAAAGTGACCAAGCATACCCCACTCTAATCCTTTAGGTGATTTTAAGTTGAGCTCTTATAGGCCTATGTTAATTCCCAGGTCTCAGAGGGTCTCTCACATGTAACCCCTGTGCTAACAGCAAAACTGCTCAAATGTTAGTGAGACAGGACTTTGCCATTCTCTATAAAAGACATTTTTCCATTTGTTTTTTAGAGAATGGAAGAGAGAGGGAAAGACAGGGAGAAATATTGATGTGAAACATCAATTGGTTGCCTCCTGCACACATCCCGACCAGGGCCTGGGCCGGGGAGGAGACTGCAACTGAGGTACATACCCTTGACCAGAATTGAACCCGGGACCCTTCAGTCCACAGGCCGACGAGGGCACGATAGCCTTTATCTTTGATAAACATTATCTTTATCCTCTTCCCAATACCAGCCAAACCATGTTTTTCCCCTGAAAGGCGTTTCTTCTCTTTTGGTTGTTCCTTCTTCTTGCCCACTTGAAACCTCTCCCTATCTGTCACTGCCTGTCCATTTGGTCTATTCTTTAGGGCCTATCTGAAGTCCCATCTCCTACAGGAAACCTTTCCTTGACTTTGGCCTTATTCGGTTCAGTGTGCAGTCATGTTCTGTACATCCTACTTTGCACAGGGGTTTCATGTGTATGCCTCTTCATCAGTGAGGTCCTTGAGAGCAGGGGCTGTGCCTCTTCCTTCTCCAGTACCACGCACAGGCTCTTGCCAGCACGGGTTCAGTTGTCACTGAATTGAACTGAATCAGATCAGATTTCAGGGAGAGTTATGGTAATTTCCTTATCTCAATCAAGATGTTGACTTGAGTGACCAGAACAAAACTCACTGTAGGAGGTTCCAAATAGGTTAGGTATCACACATTCTTAAGATTTTGTTTCCTTTTTTTGAAGTCAGAAGAATCCTTTTCCACCTGACAACTGAAGCAGGAACTTTAACAGAGCGTTTGCTTATCTTCAACAGGCTGCACATTAAATGGCCAAGACGTGAGACTCACTGTCCACTACGAAAATGGGTTCACGATCTCCAGGGAAAATGGAGCCCCCAGCAGCTTGCTATACCGCTACCCCTTCGAAAGGCTGAAAATGTCTGCTGATGACGGCATCAGAAATCTGTATCTGGATTTTGGTGGTCCTGAGGGAGAACTGGTGAGAGAGTTTCTGAAAAACATGTTTATTCTAATAGCTATTCTCTTTCTTATGTATTGTTTCTTACCCTCTTGCGTAGACATATTATGAACTGATAATCCACTTTTTTCCAGGAAACTGTTCTTCAGTTTTCAAGATGCAGTGGTTCTTTTTTTTCCTTTCCCACATTTGGAAATTATTCCCTTTTTTAGAAGTATTTTTTTTAATCTTAGAAAGAAAAAATAGCCCTTTTAAGAAGTAGGTTTTTATAAACAATAAGATATTAAATATTAAACATTTTAAATACTAAATAAATTCTAGTCATTGCTATTTAGCAGTTTCTTGGTATAAGAATTAAAAGTAATAGGGTGTCTTGGTTGCTACAGAAATTCTGCTGATCAGAGAAAAAGATGCAGAGATATGTCCATACAGTCATCATTTTCTTTTTTACCTCCTGTCCCTTAAAGGAAATTTCAACAGGAACTCATGATCCCCTTTAGAGAACTAGAGAAGTGCATTTCAGAAATCATAAATTGTGATAAAGGAGTAAAACAATGCCTTTTCTCTCTTATCAATATTGAGCCAGTAGTTCAGGTCTTCTATGTGAAATCTTATGTCCATTGACACAGTCACAACAGGTCTAAGTTGGAAAGCAGAATCTTGACGCTTTAGAACTGAAATAGATCTATTTTGAGCACACTGGCTAGAAATCTTACTTTAAATGATGAAGCTTTGGGAGACTATGGGTAGGCCATGAACCAGGGCTTTTCAAAAACCTGAAGCATTAAAGACAGTTAAAAGCTTCTATTAAATTAACTTCTATTAAAGTAACCAGTTATTAATATCAGTAGCCATATAGCAAGCAAGGTATTAGATTATCCCCAGCTATTTATATATTTTTAAGACCTGCTTTACATTTAATGTATGCAAAGTTTAGTGAGGAATTTAATGCTCTATAACTATGCTCTTCAAGTCCTAGTTTTCTTTATAAGGCATAATTAAGCCGGGTCCTATTCCTGGTCTCTGTTATCAGTGCCACAATGATTGACGGCCCCCTTGACTCATGCAGCCAGACCCCAGGTCTCCTATGCATCTGGTGCCAGGTGTCCAAATTAGAGGCCTGTGCTTAGGAAGGTATAATAACCCTCCTTACTAGCCTCAAGAGTTGTCATTTCCACCACAAACTTATATGAGGTGTCAAAATCATGCCATAGCCCTAGCCCATTTGGCTCAGTGGTTGAGTGTCGGTCCGCAAACTGAAGGGTCCCAGGTTCAATTCCAGTCAAGGGCATTCTGGTCAGTTGCGGTCTCCAGCCCGGTCGTGGGAGACAACCAATCAATGTGTCTCTCTCACATCAATGTTTTTCTCTGTCTCTACCTCTCTTCCACTCTCTCTAAAAATCAATGGAAAAATATCCTAAGGTGAGGATTAACAACAACATCAAAAATCATACCATAGGGGGTGACAGTTCAGCTGAGCTTACTGTGGTTCCCACTCAGAAATGCATACAGTTACAATTAATGGTTTTCATATAGGATATTCCTTTCTTTTAGATCCTCTACTTTTTAGTTCTGTCAGGCATGGTGGAAGCCAGTATACCACCAAGTGTAATTGTGGATGTGAAACCTCAGACTAACGTTTAATTATAACATGGAAACTCCTAACTTGAGAGTACACTCTCATTTGTGGCATTCAGTTCCCAAGAGTTTCTGTAGCTCTGGCACATTCTTTATCTAAGTTCTTTTGAAAAAGTAGAACATCACATCTAAATTTGTTTCTTTTGCGTGTTTATTGGCATGTCTGTGTATGGTAGTGATAACGCCCTTTCTCCACAGACCATGGACCTGCACTCTTGTCCGAAGCCGATTGTATTTGTGCTGCACACGTTCTTGTCGGCCAAAGTCACGCGCATGGGACTGCTTGTATGAGCAGCAAGAATCAGAAAAGAGCCTTGAATGTCACAAGAAGTATTTTCACCTCAAAAAAAAAAAAAAATAGCACAATAAGAAAGCTCTTTGCTCTCCTCCAGCACAGTGCCTTGACAAGGACCTGCGAATCACTGCTGAACCCCAACCACGTTTAAAGAGGAGCCTGCCTTTCACAACCTACCGTGGCCAGAATTTCTAGGCTCTAATGAGCTCCAAAATGAAGCTGTTGACTTATTGTTAGTTTCCTAATGTGGTTTCTAAGTAATTGGGTTTAATTCTCCTGTTAAGAAGGTGGCTCATTGTTTTTCTTTATGGACATAGTAAAATATACAAGAAGTGGGGTTTTTTCTTCTTCCTGTAGGATTTATTTCAGACTAAGCTTTGATCTCTTGCTTAGGAAGACTGTCTCTTCCCAGGTGCTAGTTTCCAGCAGCCCCTGCTTCTTGGTCATTCCAGATACGTTGTACGTTGTGATGGAGTTTACTGTGTGCACTTGCTCCTCCCGCCCTAGGAAGTCCTCGAATTGTATCACCAAAGCGCTCTTCCATGTGTCCTGGCTCTCGCTGCGTCCCTCCACCCCCCGCCATCCCTTCCCACTGCACCACCAGCTTTGCCATTTCTCAGTGCTAACATTAGGACTTAGAACTTGCAGAATTTGATTTGCCTTGCCTTCCACTCCCTTTCTGGTGGTGACCAAGTTGAAGAGCAAGTCAGAACCACTGCATTGAAAGAAAATACTTGTTTGAGAGTTTTCTGATTTTACTTTTGGTAGGAGCCAGGGGATGTGGTAAGATTTATTTTAAAAGAAAATCCTTATTTTATTTTTTCCATGACCTAATAATTGATACTTGCTTTAATGAAAAAATCCTCATGTTAGCCTAAGCCATTTTTTATTGCTTACCAAATGTGCCTTTGGTTGGGGTTTGTGGAGCTTTATTAGTCACTATTTGAATAACTGGATATCACTGCCATCCCAGGGAGGTCATCTGTCCTGGTGTTAGAACAGCCTGCGGCAGCTCTCCTTAGTGCTGTCTTTTCTCGTGGGCAGACATAGTTGAGAAAGATACAGCCTGAAGAGCAAGCTTGTTTCAAGAGGAGAATTTGTGGGTGAAGCCAGCTTTGTAGCACAAACAAATTGTCGAGTTGCTTTAGGCTCTGTTCCCCCATGTAGAACCCTGGCCCTAGCCCTCTCCCCTTGTGGCAGCAGAGTGGTGTGGACAAGCAGCTGCTAACTCAAGACTCAGTGTAGCTTAGTAACCCATTCTCCAGTGGGCGGGGTGAGGAGACCATGGACGGAGGCCTGGGTTTTGCTAAGCACTGCCAGATGTCATCATTAGGACACATGACAGTAAGATCGCTGATTTTGTGGTACTGGAGAATACACGCAGTTATTTATAATCATGAAGGAGGTGCATATCTGAAACCATTTAAAATAGTGTAATAGTTGTATAAGATGTCAACTTTAGTACAGTCCCTGGAACTGAAAGAGAAGGTAATAGTGAGTTGGCTGTTCTCCGTGTTCTCTGAAGAAGGGTCTGGGGTTAGTTCTCATTTACTGTGTTTATCAGGAGTGCCTAGAGGATGTGAGCACTACAGAGGGTGGAGGCGGGCAGCACTCCCAACAGGAAAAGAAAGCACAGCGGTGTGTGCAGCACACAGCTATTTGGTGTGAGTGCAGACTGACACAGGTGGGATGTGAAAGAACCCACTCGAGTTGGAAGTTCTAGTTAGACGTTGTGAGCCCATTGTCTTCACTCCTTCCCGTGTTCAGTGAGATTAACCACAGGCAGAGGCTGGGGAGAGAGATCTGTTCTTCCTCACCACCGGTCCCAAAAATGAACTGTCTAATCCACTTAAAACTGGAAATTGAAATCTAGACTAGACTACGTCTTTCAAGAGCTTTTTATGTTTTGAAAATTCACAAGCCCAAGTTTGGTTCCATCTGGAGTAAGGTGACAAGTTAGGAAAGAAAAAAAAATACCTTGAAGGTCCAGCTGTGATTTCTGGAAGAAGAATTTGAATACATAACCCTGAGATAGGGAAGCTTAGACATTCTTTGCAGTGAAAGTATTTATCTGAGAAGATGAACGATGTAATCACAGACTTTTGCAGCAAAGCCATTTGGTTGAGGTTTTCTATTAGTGTGAAAGGCTAAGCCACTGAAAAGATTTTCAGGGGGAACTTCTGAGCCACCTGCTCAATGGTTATATGAAAAGATCTGTAAAAAAGGTGTAATTAAAACGTGGGAAGGAGAGGTAAGGCGGGTGTGCACTTCAACCCTTTTGTTCAAGCTTAAACTGCCATGGATAGCCCCAAGGTCCACAGGGTTTTTAATATTTAATAGGGTTTTGAGTCTTGATGTGGAGTGAAATTGATGGGAGGTTTCCTGTGATCTCTTGCTCCCCCAAGAGCAAGAGCCCTTAGGCTGCTTGTTTAACAAACTTCAGCAGCTTTCCAATCATGGATGACCAGGTTGTTCTTCGATTAAGTGTGTTTGTGGGATTTTCAAACCACAAATGAAGTACTTTTTGTGAATGAGACAGCCTTGATAAATATGTGTGTATTTTCGACCCACAGTTGGGAATATGAGGAGGGCTGACTCTATCCACTGCTCTGCACTGTATTATATAAGGGACTTGCACATCCGTGGATTTGGGTCCTGGACCCAATCCCTAGTGAACACCAAGCAACGACTGTAGCTAAGGTTTTAGGGAGCCAAAGTTAATTCGTGGGTTTTCGACGGCCTGGGGAGCTGGCACCCCTAATCCCCACGTTCTCCAAGGATCAGTTTGTACTTTGTATTTAGATGCCAAAATATGGCAAATTATTTTCAAATGAATAGCTAAAAATAGGCATTTTTCATATTTCACATCTTTTACAGAACAGCTAATTTTTCATTTCTTTTTTATTCTGAATTAGGAAAATTATTGAGAATGTTGTGGGCTTCCATGTGTAGAATGTAAAGGAATTGCAGAGTATTGTCCCCCTCATTCTGATGGACCACTTTCAGTGCCCCCCAGGACCTGGGCCTAGACATCTTCTCCATATTCCACACAGATGCCTATCAAAGAAAAGGCTCAGTTACTATTTTTCTGAAAAAGGTAAGTCCTTTTCTGAAGTCATCAAATGGACCTTACCTGGAAAGGTTCTAATATTTTATATGAAGAAATACTTTATGTTTATACAGTATTTATTAGATTTTGTAACTGTAAACTCACCTACCTAGTAGACAGAGTTTCAGGTTAAATATTGGGACATGTACAGGCAATCAAAATATTACTTTAAATGTCATTCACTTATTTTAAAGCTATGTTTTAGCACTTTTTAACTCTAGGTAAGTCTGACAGTGCCTGTTTTTATCATCTATAATCTCACAAACTTTGTTATTGAAATTGCATGGCAGGAGAGATTGAATTATTTATTTCTTACATTTTTATAAGTGGAAAAATCTCTCCAACCAACAAATGATTAAAGTTGTTACTGATTATTTGTTCTCTTATCCTCCTAAGCAGAATGATAACAAAGTTTTTTTTCAGCTGATTAAATGCACTTAGCTAATAAACCAAAATTTATTTAAAAAAAAAAAAAAAAGCTGTGTGGAATCTGGATAAGATTATGTTTCTTCCAGAAAAACAAATTAGTGCAAATGCTTTTGATGGACAAGTGTGACCACTTTTGAGAAAAGGTTATGATAGATTTTTTTGTTAATTTTCTGAGAACCTCCAGGTCTTCGTTTTTAATTTATATGCATGTGGATAATTTGTGTGTGTTTTCAAAAACATGGAAGAATCTCCATATTTTTTAATGCAAATTATCTTGTAAGCTGCTATGCAAATTGTATTAAAAGGCCTACCTACTAAAAAAGTTAAACATTTTTGAAGCTTCAGGGAAGACCTGTAGACTTAAGCACTTTCTCTGCTTTTTTGTATCTTGTCTTGGATATGCTGAATTATGTTATTGTTTTCACTGGTTATAAGCTATTGATTGTACATAATATTTAAATCATCCAAATATCCAGCATACATTTCCATGTTGTTGCCATCCACTATCGATACCATGAGTGAAATGGCTGGTTGGAAAGCCAAAGTTCATGCTTTTACAATCCTTAATGAAGTAAAATGCCAGATCTCTTTGGTCTCAAAACATTGTTCTGGTCTGATCTGACTATCTGTGTAAGAGAGACTTCTTTAAATTTGGGATGCTTAAACTTTTAAGTTGAATTTGACTATAGTCATACTTATATATTTTTGTCAAGTATGTTATGTGGCAGGTGATATTATATTCTACCTTGAGTTTGGAAATTTCTTTCAGTTAAATTTGAATTGTCATAATGGCCTCTGAAGATGAAGACAAAGGAATCTGCCATCTGCTGCCATTCTTCCTCTGTGTCTCGATTTTAATTGCTTGGAAATCTAGAATTATTTTGACTTTCTATATACTGTCTTTAAAAACCGACACAGCAGACTCCCCCCTCCCTTTCCCTTTTTAAGCTACATCTTCGTGCTGAGTATATAGACACTTGATAAATGTGTCATGTTAGTTCTAAAATAATTATGCTTTTTATCAGGATTATGCTTTCTTGATCAATATAGCTATTCTCATGGTGAAATTTATTTTGTACTAGTAATAGACTGCTTAAGTGGCTGATTTGAAAACCTTTCTCTAAAAAAACAAAATTATCTGGCAGATAATTGATATAAGTTCATCCTATGAAAGGATTAAATTTCAAGTTAAGGTAAAGTACAATAAGTAGGCACATAGAGCATATCTGTTTCCTTGTCTCTTTTGACACTAGCTAAACTGCCAACTGGAAGAATGATTGTTATATATAAACTAGAAAAATATTTTAACAAGATTTCTTCTATTGTTTCAAAACTGATAAACTTGAACTTAATCTCTTGCCATTTATTCTTCCTTTCCACTTCAGGTTCCTGAACCAAAGCATATTCTGGGTTTTTAAAGCAAATCTGCATTTGATACAATGCATAAATATGCCATTTGCAAATGATTGCTTATTCTCCAATGAGCATTTGGTTATATTCAACAAAAATCTATCATATGAACTGTAATCTTTGAATTGCCCAAAATAGATTGATTGAAACTAAAAACCTATAATAGAGAAATTATCGATACTCTGTTATTAAGGGGTTGGACAGAAGTAAATTTACAGTTGTTCACAGAAGTAATACAGTAATTAATAAATAATAATACAAGAATAGCCCTGGCCAGGTGGCTCAGTTGGTTGGAGTGTCATCCCATACACCAAAAGGTTGCAGGTTTGATTCCCGGTCAGGGCATGTATGGGAGGCAACCAACCGATCAATGTTTCTCTCACATCGAAGTTTCTCTCTCTTTCTCTTTCTCTCCCAGTTCCTCTCTTAAAAAAAAAAAAAAAAAAAAAAGACACACACACCAAAAACATATTCTTGGGTGAGGATTAAAAAAAGAAGAAAACTGTGTCTCATGGTACTCACAAACTGTAAACCTACTTTTGCCCACCCCTGTATTGTGAGAGAAGATATCCTGATAGATTTCTAACTTCTGCGTCCTCTGAGTCCCTTACTCAGTTTTTCTTAATCTTAACCTCTAAACTGTTGACACCAATGATCTTTTAGTTTTTGAGTCCCTCTTTGTTCCAGTCACATACACACCCTGAACCTGACTGTTCTGTCACCTCTTCCAAAGTGACAGAAGCCTCTTGTGAGGAGACAAAAGGTACTTTGGAGGCTTTGAGAATTTTTAGAAATTGCAGGGCTAATTCATGATACAGTAATCCTTGCAGACTTTCATCAAATAAGCACTTATTAGTGTATAGTTCTTCACATGCTCTCTGAAGGGTCCAAAAGAAAGTTCTTGCCCTCACATAGCACATAATCCATTCTCAATCACACCATGCCATCTGTCAATCAGAGGTTAAATAATTAACCACTTCATATTTTTATCAAAGTACATCTGGAGTTCTGCTCATTTGGCAAACTGGAAAGTGTTTAAAAGGAGGCTCAGTCTTTGGTCCGTGCTAGCATGAAAGAATTTCAAGCACATTTACATAGGCTGGTCTTTTCATCATGCATAATTTTTTAAATGCAAAATTAAGATTTTAGTTTTGGAAGGAGAACACTGTAGAATATCTTTAGGGAGATAGATCACAACAACAATTAAGTTCTGTTGCTCAAAGTGGATCAATGGGAAAGTCTTTTTAAAGAAATGCTTCTTTCAACTGTAAACAGCAAAGCTAAATGTGTATTTTCATCTAGCCCCCATTTCTAAATTGTGCTGGCCTGTTCATTTCCACACTCACACCATTTAAACATCTCATTTGCTGAAAGTCCTTATACATGGTAGATGGAGTATTTCTTCATAATGAGAGCTCAAAATGAAGATATTTAAAACTTAGCAAAAGTCCACTTATTCCAGACACTCTGGCAAACTCAGTGAAAAGAGCACCTAAAGACAATGAAAGATTGTTTGAATGTTTCCAATATTTTTTATATATTAACATCCTTTTCTATCCAGCTTGCCTTCCGTTTATCACTAAGGTCAGCCTTTCAGGTAGCATCCTTCATCATGCTCAGAAAGTGCCTGAACGATGTGATTGGAATGGCATAGGGAACAACATACTCTCATGGCTCTTGCCCTTTGTTTCCAAGTGTCCTGGAGGTGTGCACACACATTAGGTCAGGGTCTTTCCTTCAAACCTACCCTTTGACAATCAGGTGCTAACGATTCTGTATTATTGGAACCAGCACATAAATATTGTCATGTGTCTGTTCTTCCTCGGTTGGAAGAAGTGCTTCCCTTCTATCTCAGTCCTGTTCGGCGGGGGCGGGAGGGGCGGGGGGGAGTCAGCTATATTTTTTCACCTCTGTTTTCTAAATGAATAGAATCTGGGGGAGAGGAAATTATTAAAGTGAAGTTCTGGGTTTGGCACAATCAATGTTGATGATGCTCTTCACAATTTACAGCAAATCTGCCCTTATCATGAGATCCAGTTCCAGTTTTTGTTTCCCTCCAGTATGGGGCTGCGTGTTACCTGTAAACCTATCAGGTGGGTGCAGCGTGTTAAGACCTTGGTTCCCAGAGAATCGTTCCCTTTTGGTATCAGACCCGAGGTCTTTTCGCAGATAATGCGGTGGACACTGCCCATGAAGCCTTCCATTGGGGCTCATCTCTGCAAACTGGTTTGTGTTCGGTCCCACACAACTTGCATTGTTGTTAAGCATTAAGACTTAGCTGGAGTAATACTTCTACAAATTATTAAAGTATGTGATATCCTGGGGTTTTCTTCTTTTTAGAACCCTGTATTTAAACAAGACTTCTTTGTGTTTAAAAGCTTCAAACCTTCTGGCATCACTAGACTACCAAATTGAAATCCGTGCATAAAACAGGGCAGTATTTGTGTTCCTAATTAAAAGAAGAAAAAAGCTTTATGTATGTGTACTCTGCAAATACAAATGCATAGACAACACTTTCCCTTGAGTTGCACATCGACATATAGCATTGTATATTACAATGAAAGTTTGTAACTTAAGGGTATTATATATATAAATACATATATACCTTTGTAACCTTTATACTGTAAATAAAAAATTGCTTTTAGACTTGTATTTTTTTTCTTCTTCTCTTTCTTTATTATTAAAATAGTTTCAAACCTACAGGAAAGTTTTAGGAACAGTACAGAGAACTCCTCCATCCCCTTTCCCCAAATTTCCCAGTTAACGTTTTAGCACATTTGTTCCATCTTCTTTTTCTGACATGATGCTCTCTACTGCGTGCCTCCAAACACAAGGACGCTCTCCTGCATCGCCACCACACAGCCCTCCAATGAGGAAACCAGCAGTGGCACAACCCTGCCGCCCGTCCAGAGCCCCCCCGGTCGGATGCTACCAGCCATCCCAACAGCGCTTCCTTCCCTTCCTGGCACAGGACCCCATCCAGGACCACATGTTGTGTTTGGTTGTCATATCTCATCAGTTCCTTCTGGTACCGTTTTTAAGCAGATTTCGGGCAAATCCAAACTCGTAAAAACTTAAGTTTTGGTTCTCATTCCACCAGGGACTTTTTGTGTGATGGAAGCTTAATCATTGGAGCATCTGAGCTTTTTCAGACTTTGAGTCGCACTGAGGAGTGAGAGGGGAGATGGTTTCTCGGGCATCGTATTAGGGATCATCAGTGCTCCATTTATCTGGGTGTCACTCGCTTTGCATGGTAACTCGGCAAAATTTTGCCCTGGCCCTACCTCTCCAAAATGTTACCTAGCCCTGGTTTTTGTTCTCCACACTGCTCGTGGCCCCCATCAAGGAGTTCATTAACAAATGGTTAGAACCCATTCCTTAGCACAGCCGTAGAACACGAGTTCGTTTAGTCTGATTTTACTAGGTTGTATTGGCTAAACAGAGTTGATTCACTAGTCCAAGCTTGGGTTTACAAGGGCCACATTCTCAGCATCATGATCCCAATTGGAAAAGTGCTGTGCAAGAGAGAGCAGATGGAAGTGTGCCTTTGCAAGTCAACGACTTTCTACCTAAAGGTGGGAGCCGAGAATCTGGTCTACTCTAGTGAGAAAGTTAGAACAGAAAGGTCCTGATCTGACCATCGAAACCATCAAGCCCAAACAGGCCCCAAGTGCCAGCCCACAAATAACTTACATTTGGTCCCTTCATTCCCCCTTTCCTTCCTCAGCTTACTCCCCCATCCCCAGCAATGGCAACACCACTGCAGAACTGGGGGCGGGGCGGGCGGGGGTTGAGGGCCTCAGAGTCTGTTTTGAAGCTCTTCCCAGGAAAAAGTCAACAGTGGATGACCAAGTGAGAGGGGAGAAGACCATTTCCTGCCATCAGAGGCAGCAGCTCAGGACAGAGCTTCCTCTAGGGGGCGCTTCCTCGGGGAAGCCCACCGTGGGAGCCGGGGCCGTGTGGGTGGCAGGCTTGTGAGAGACAGACGCTGAGCAAGAGGTGCAAGAAAGTGGAGTGGGCAGAACAAAAGATGCACACAGCTCGTGGATCGCACACCCAGCCCTTGTTTCGGGCTGAACCGTGTGCTGCCAAAATGCATATGCGGAGCCCCCCCCCCCCCCCCCCCCCCCCCCCGGCACCTCAGAATGTGACTGTATTTGGAGATAGAGCCTTTGAAGAGGTGAGTCAGCTGAAATGAGGCCTTTAGGTTGGGCCCTAATCTAATCTGCCGGGTGTCCTTACAAGAGGAGGAAACGTGGACACAGATACCGGAGCGTGCGTGCACAGAGAAGGGACCCTGCAAGGACACAGCAAAGTGTGGCCATTTGCAAGCCCAGGAAAGAGGCCTCAAGAAACCAACCCTGACACCTTGATCCTGGACTTCTCGCCCCCAGAACTGTGAGAGAACGCATTCCTGTTTAAAACAACCCTGTCTGTGGCACTGTGTTATGGCAGCCCTAGCAAACGAAGACAGCCCTCTTTTCATTGTAGGGACTTTTCATTTTCATTCCGTCTTTCAACTCACACAGCCCATCCAATACGTGGGATTGATATGTTCTCAAGTTCCCTGCTTCACTCTCACCCACCAGTGAGAGTTCCTCTTTTGTTTGCTCACTTATTCATTCTGAATAACTTCATTATTAATTCTCCCAGCAGATACTGAGTGTGCCAGGCCCCTGGAAGAGGCCCAGCCCTGCCCTCTCAGTGATGCGAAAGGACAGTGACTACGCCCGGTGCCATGCCCGCAGGTGGAAGCTTCCCCACTCCGTTCTGTCAGTATTGAGGGTAGACGCGAAGAAGCATGGCTCACAGGGTGTGTGCCTCCCTACCTCGCCCAAGCCCATCACAGGCCTCGCCCTGCCACTCAGGTCCATCACTCCGACTCCTGTCCACAGGGATGCTCAGCACTTTGGCCTTTTGGTTCCTGACCTCCCTGTGTGTGACGATGGCCCCATCACTTCATCTCACCATCTTCCTGCTCCCAGGGTCACCCCTGGACTGCATTGTTGCTGAAACAGCCATTCCTGAAACCAGTAACGGAAGCATCCCTCTCAGCGCGTTCTCACTGTGACTATCCTTCAACCTCCTGGGTCCTCAGTTAGTCCCCATGACTCTTATCTTCTTACACACTTCCCACCGTACCCGGCTCTCGTTCCACACTTGCCGAGCCCGTGAATGTCCCTGCTGCTCTGTCTTCACAGCAGCCACCTGGATGAATCCTGCCATCTCCCTGCCCCTGAGTAGCTGAGTATTGGGGAGAAAAATCCAAGGCAATTGGTACCTTTATACATGTGTCAAGGTTGCCAGCTGTTACCAGGTTTGCCTGTAACTGCTCACTTTCAGATTTCTTTAAATTTCAAACCTTTACTCTCCTCAGCCCCAGGCCTCCCACCTTCTCTCTCTTCTCAGCAGACTCTCTTTCCTTCTAATTCATGGAGAAAATAGAAGCCATCCAAAGGTACTCTCCCAACTTCTTGTTACCTTCCAGCCAACATCTTTTTCCCTCCTATTATAATGTCCAAAGCCAGTCCTCCTGCCTATACATTGATCCCATTCCCATTGATCTTTACTAGATCCTTTCTGTTGGTTGGTTTGTTTTATTTTTTTAATATATTTTTATTGATTTCAGAGAGGAAAGGAGAGGGAGAGATAGAAACATCAATGTTGAGAGAGAATCATTGATCGCTGCTTCCTGCATGCCCCCCAGTACGGACCAAACCCACAACCCGGGCATGTGCCCTAACTGGCACTCAAACCATGACCTCCTGGTTCATAGGTTGACACTCAACCAGTGAGCCACGGCGGACGGGCCCTGTTGGTTTTTCAAACATGCTCAACTCTTCTCACATTAACAACCATCAAAAACTCCTTCCGGACCCACAGTTCCTGCAGCTATTATCCTAGGCCTCCCTTCCTGTTCCCCAAACTCCCTAAAAGAGTTGTGCCTCCTCATGGACTACATTTCCTCGTGACCCACTCACTCGTGGCCTTCTGCAGTATGGCTCTGCCTCCATCACTTACTCATCTCTGGCTGAGGTCGTCGGTATCTTACATATATCACTGTCTGCTTTCTCAACTGCATTAGGCACTGTGCTCCTCCCTCCTTCGCCACAGTCCTCCCACCCCCCCTCCCCTGACTTCCAGGACACTCTTCTGTCTATCCTTGTCTCCAGCTGTCTTTCTGAGCTGCTTTTGCAGGCTCCTCCTCCTCTGGTTGGCCAACAAACCTCCAAGCGCTGCCCCAGGTCCCCCCTACACTCTGCTCTTCCCTAGGAGATCTTATTCGCAGCTTCCGTTCCCACTGACACCCAGATGTCTCACAGATGTGCATCTCCAGCCCTCATCTTTCTTCCGACTTCCAGATGCATATATCTGACTATTGATATTTCAAAGGCACCTCAAACTCCTCATCCCTCCTCCACAAGCCCCCAAATATAGTCTTTGTCCAGTATTCCCATCTCAGCAGCATCACTATTGGTCCAGGTGCTGAAGCCAGCAACCCAGGAGTTATCTCTGTCCCTCCACCCCTCACCATACCCCATATCTAATCCACTTCCAAGCGCTTGAAATTTGTCTTCCAAAACCTCCCATTCTGTGTGTATTTCTCCATGCCCCCTTACCCCAGTCCAAGCTTCCCTTACTCTTCTGGACTATGGCAGGAGCTTCATGTATAATAGCCACCCCATCCCCACGATCAGTTCTGCATAATAGGGCTAGTCATCTATCCAAATACAAATGAACAGTTTCCCATTGATCTTGGGATACAACCCAAAATCTTGACCATAGCCAAATGTCCTGGCCCCTGCCCTACCCCCGAACACCCGTTCACATCAGGTGAACTTGACTTTCTACTTTATGCTCTCTGGCTACCGGAGCCTTCTTCCAGTTTCTTAAATTCCACCAGTGGCCTCCTCAGGGCCTCGGGCCTTTGTACAGGCTGTCCCATCAACCGGGAATGCTCTTCTAACCCCCTTCATCCCTGGAAGAATGGAAGGCTTTCCTGACCCCTATCTGGGGTAGGTTGCCAGTTAGAAGCCCACAGAGCAATGGGCCTTCACACACAGGCCTCAACACGCTTATTACATAATTTTTCCTGGTGTACAGCATCTTTCTCCTTAGACTGCAGGCTCCCCGGGAGCTGTTTTAATCATTGCTGTATCCCCAGAAACGACACAGAGCTCCGAAATAGTCTGTATTGATGAAATATTGTTAAAGTGAATGAATGTGGCTCGGTTGGAACATCATCCGTATACCAAAAGGTTGTGGGTTCGATCCCCAGTGGGAGCACGATAAGGAGCCACCCTGATCGATATTTCTCTCTCTCCCTCTTTCTCACTCTCTTTAAAAATAAATAAGAACATATCCTCGGTGAGGATTAAAAACAAAACTTTAAGACAGAGCCACAGACATAAGTTACCTGGAACTGATAACACTGTGGGGTAGACTATGTGTCCATTAGCTAGCTCATTCATTACCCTCAAAAGCCAGAGAAGGTGGGTCCTGGTTATTAGCCTACCCCGTTAAACGCGCGCACACAGAGCTCTGGGCACTAAAACTGTTTTATTGGAAGTGGGGTCTAGGACTTGAGGCTTCGGCCCCGCCCTGCCCCTCGCCCCGCCCCCCGCCCCTCGCCCCGCCCCACCCCCAGGCCC